CAACAGATGACGAAAATTATTCATATTTTGATGTATTTTTGCATTGTATTTTTTTCATTATGAGATAAAAGGTGGAGAAGTGTGAATCAAAGCACTGCTCCGTGATGGTAACCTTTGTATTCTTTGTAGCATCATGATTTCAAAATTTTACTATCTCTGTTCTTTAATAATTCCTGAAGTTGTAACAGTTGTTAGCACTTTATCTTCTCAATTGAATATACATCAGCTAAAAATGTGTTTATTAAGGTTGCTAAAAACAAGAAAAGAAAACTATGTTTCAAATAATGCTTCGTTGGGATTGAGGTGAACCAGAGTAAATACAACATATCCAGTATAATGTGAGCTGTGTTGGGATCTGGGGGTCAAAATGTATGCAACCTAACCCAGTTACCGATGTTAAAAAAAAGCAAAGAGGTTGTTTCCATTAGACCCTAGATGCATTGTTGATTTAGAGTCCAAAACATCATAGAAAGTAAAGCAAGGGAGACTCAACGTATCATTTTGATTTAGTCCATTGTTTACCTAACGCTAAAACATTGTCAAGTATAACTATTTCAGCCTCAATGGAAACAAGCACTATATTCTTAAACTAAGGTGAGGTGAATCATTCACATTTACTCAACATAATTTACTCTGTTTACTTTACACTCAGAACCGGGGCAATTGGGGTGAGTATCTTATCATGTGTTGTTTATTTTAATTCACCGCAATCCAAACAAGGTTAAAGCGGAGTTCAACAAGCTAGAGCGAATATTATGCCGACGATATACTCCCTTCGTTTGTATATAGTGTTCGTGATTCGGTTTGCGATTTTTGAGTGAAACTATTTTCCAGTCAATTGTTGTTGTGTTTATTTAAAAAAATAGTGTAGAGTTAAAAATAGAATCTATATATTTAAGGACTACAAAAAATTCTACAAAATAAGAGATAGACATACTATTTCCAAGCATTGAATGATCAATGAAAATATGCAAGCAAAGGATATATTTTGACACTGTAAATAGTGTTTCTGAACATTAATATGAAACAGAGGGAGTATCAAAATCTTCAAAACAAGCAAAACATTTTCACATAACCTAAGTTTTTGTTTTATTTTAAGTTTACCATAATCTAGATGCACCTTAATCCGAAACGAGCATCAAAATTAGAATGAAATAATTCGCTGAACTCTCTTTGAATTCACAACCCGGCAATCTGACAATGGAGAAAAACTTTACACAGACGAATTGTTGAGGAAAATCTGCAGAAATTTTAAAAAAATGCAGAATTTATCTTACTCTTCGGCGCCTACGGTAACTGAGAGAATGAAAGGCGATACTTTCTTCAAATTCTTTCATCATAATGTAATTGAAGATTTTAGGGATTTCAGAAATTGAAATGTACGAAGATCCCGATTGATTTTAGCAGATCAATTTGGGCTTGAATATTATCCAAATGTTTCTCTTTTTTTTATGTTTCTCTAATGTGATTACTCCGTATTTGATTTTTTTATTTTTTTGGGGGGAAATGATTTTTTATTCTAGGGTTGGTTTGATTGAGAAAAAAATATTTTTCCAGAGAATTTTAATTTTTAATTTCAGTACTCCATTCATTCTTTAAAAACTATCTATTCGGGCTGGATTTAAATATTTTTTTCTCATTTTTAAGTGTGATTGGCTATAGGGTAGATTTGCCAAAAATACCTTACTAAAAATACGTGCTTAAATCCTTCAAAAAAAAACGTGCTTAAACATGAGAAATGAGAAGATAAATTCATTCACGAATAAATTGAGGACATTTTTTAAAACATACAAGAAACATGTAGTATATGAGAAATGAAATATCAAATTTGGACGGAAAAAAAAGAGACATAAACAGATTAAATGTGAACAAATATATATCTATTTATTACTACGTATTTTTTAACTTTTCCTTACTATTTCATATTTTTTTTCTAATTTTTTTTAATTTCTTCTTAACTCTCACATGTCAATTGTATAGCTTCTATCCAAACACAGCCAAAATTTATAGGTCAATAAAAGTTTGTTCATGTACATAAATACCATTAGACTTTTATAAAAATCTTCTAATAATAAGCTCTAATAAAATTTATATGCCAGCTCTACCTACGTGTATAAAGTCAAGAAAACCTTGATGGATGGTGGTCTAATAAACCATTCCGGAGTATCCAATAATATATGGAGTTTAAATTTAAGCAAGTTTTTTCAAATCTTTGATAAACCAATAAATTAAATGTGTGTCACACAAAAAAAAAATGTGACAAATAATTTGGAGGTATGGGATGCATTTTCTTTCTCTCGTGTCCCTGTATAAAATAGGTAACCCACATATTATTTGCATGTAGTCAATTTTTATTATAACGAGGGTTGTTATTAGACCATCTTCGTTGCTCCGTTCGAAAAATTAATGGTTTTTACTCTACTTAATTTTTCTCTTCTCATCTCAGCACGACTCTATCCATCTCCACTCCCTTCAATTGCACTCCATAAAATTTCTTTAACTCTAAATTAAAGTCAACTAAATTTTGTAGAGTGCTATTGAAAAGGTGAGGTGGATTTGGGTCCAAACAGGGTGGGAGGCTTACTTGGGAGGTTAAGAGAGATGAGAATGTCAATTTTTAAAGGGCGTCACATTTTAATTAAAAAAAGTCAAAATAAGAAACAGTTTATGAGGCAGAGAGATTACTATTGACACAATAGCTTTTTAAGTATAGTGACAAAGCTAAAATAAAAAAAGATGAGCCACATCTCCGAGGGCCTCTCAGATCTGTTCGGATCATTAATGAGAAGTGGTAAATTATACATAAACACCACCATTAGCACTATCCCCACTACTCCACAAATATTGATTTCCTTTAATTCCAATCCAGCTTTTCTTTAAATCAATTGTGGCTTATAAATTAAAAATCATTTCAGATTTCTCTAAAACACACTATTCCTTTCAGATTTCATAATTCATTTTATTATCGCTCATCAAACCAACTATTAGCGTGTTAGTTTGGTATACTCACTGCTTGTTTGGTAATAACCTAATCGTTTAACTTTAATCTTTTATATAAACAATTTTTAATTTTGAAATTTAAAAAAAAATAATTTACATAATAAAAATATATTCAAAAGTGAAAACGTTAATACAAAATATTACCGGCAACAGAAGTGATATTTCGGTCTTGTTTGGCTTAGCGTTTTGAAAAGACTATCCGACGGTATTCGTTAGCGTTTTCAGAATTAATTTACACCATTAAAATTTTATCTAAAACGATAACGCCAATCGAAAACGTTGTTCCCAAACAACGCCTTTTCAATGGTATTGCCTCAACACTTTAATTGATTTGATTGCCTTTTTTCTCCATTTGTAATTAATTAGTGTGCTTTTTCCCCACTTTATCTTCCTCTAATTGATCATTAGTCCATTCTTCAACAAATGCCTTTTTGAGCATGCAAGATGATGCTTCCTCCCACTTGATACCAACCTTCTTTGTAGAGGGCACTTAAACTTGTCCTACTTTATAGGGGTTTATTTATGGCGCCCACAGGATTTTGATGAATTTGAAGAACAACTAATTACCACAAAGAAGAGAAAAATCTAGAATACTTTTTTTTATTTTGAAAGAAAATAAATTTAAGTTGTTATTTATGGTGTTAAACTTAGGGCTCGTTTGGTGAGTTTTGGAAGTAGAATAAAATATCACTTTTGAAATCTGGAAAAAAAGATATGAATTTTAAAATCTAAAATAATTACGGAATACTTATTAGTTTTTCTAATTGAAATCAGTTCAGACCAGATCAGATCAAAAACATTAAAACAGTTTTAAATATAACTAAATTCAGATCAGATCAGAACTCATTCTAATCAGATCAGGATCATTCAGATCAAGTAAAGAGAACATGACCTAAGTTGAATAATATCAATTTTTTGGTTGATCAAATTGAAAATAAATCAATTTTTTAGTAATGTTTTTTATTTTAAACGGAAATACCACCATTTACCATTTTCCATTTATATACCACCGCCACCTTTACTCTTGAAATTATTAAATGTGACTTTTCTTGTTGACTTTTGATTCTATAGTACATAAATTAAATGCACTGTCCTTTTCCACAAAGTAATACGGAGTAAAAAAACTAGAAATTCATTAGATTTTAAACAAAGTATTTTATAGACATACGGAGTATATAGATATCTATTTTATGATTTATCTTCTCATTTCTTTAAATTAAAATATTCAAAATATTCCGCATTCACCTATTTTACAATCAAAAAAGATTACTTTATCCTTGTGCATTATGGAGTATCATCTTTTCACAACTTTTTTTAATTTACTACACCACAGATAAAAATAAAAATTCAAATACTATTATACTCCGTATCATACATTAAAAGGTGTACCAATTTAATATGAAAATAAAAATATGAGACAAAAATATACTCCATCTCTCATTCTCTCCCGTTAAAATGTTCGATATTTTTTTATTCGTCCGTCTAAAAAACAATCACTGATTTTCACTTTTGAAAAAAGAATTTCCTATGTTCATTATATTTTCTCTCTTCTATGCATCACTTTCAATCACACAATTTACTATTCTTAATTTTCGTGACAATTCAAAAATAGAACTTTTTTATGGGAGAGAGGATATATTATATATACTCCCTCCAGTCTTAAAAATCTTTCCGATTTTGATTTTTTTAATCAAACAGTGACATTCTTTGACCACAAATTATGAGAAAAGTATAATTAACTATAATATAAATTCAATATAATTGGATTCATCTTAGGATATGGTTTTAGTATATCAAATTTTTATATCATTTATTTATTTATTTAGTTTATGTATAATTTGAGATCATTTATATCACTGTTTGACCAAAAAAGTCAAAACCGGAAATGTTTGTAGGCCTGGAGGGAGTTGGGTGTGTGTGCGCGCGCGCGCGCGCCACCACGTACCAATGATTAATTTATCAGTCATTATATATCTTACTAATAGTCCTTTATACGTATACATACATATGTATCTCTCTCCCTCTCACATATATATACACACCCAAAACCTCATTTATGTTGAAAAAAACATATAGCCCAGAAATGGTGAAGCTAAATAGTAGTAGGTAGAGTGGCACTTATGTTCACACTCCCATAGTCTAATAACAACACTACAAATCAAGAAACCACAGAGGAAGAAGAAGAAGAAGAAGCAGAAGAAGAAATATGGCAGAAAGAGAAGAGTCCACAGAGACGATGATGATGAAGAGAAACACGAACCCAAGAGCGGTGATCGACACCTCGCCGCCGTTCGAGTCTGTCAGGGAAGCCGTGGACCGCTTCGGCGGAAGCGGCCCTTGGGTTCCCCACCACCTCCTCCGCCTCCCCCCTCTCATTTCTGTCTGTATTTCTTCTTACAAGCTCAAGATCAAGTTTGTGATTGTAGGTCTAAGCTAAGTAAGATTTTGCGCTCTAAAACTATGGTTGTTTAGCAGGACGATCCCGCGGCGTTAATGAACCTGGACAAAATGGAAGAGGACGCGGTTCGATTCGAGCGAGATTTGATGGTGAAGGAGAGAGAAGCGCTCGGCGTGTTGAAGGAAGTGGAAGCCGCAAAGCGATACGTAGAGGGACTGAAGCTGAACTTGACTATGGAAGAAGCTGCGTCGTCATCCTCAGCTTCTCCCATGTCAAACTCAGGGTTCAGCTCGCCATCTTCTGGACGGTTGCCCGGTCTTCCGGATCGGTCCCCGGGCACCGTCCTGATGGAGCTGAACCAGGCGAAAGAGGACCTCGACAAGATGTCGTCCGACCTTTCGGTCATCCGATCCTCGGTCGAGTCGCTCAATAAAAAAGTGACGGACGGGAGGCAACAGCTCGGGAAGAGCAAATGTATGGATATAGTTGGTGATGATGATGATGGTGGTGGTGATGATGAGTGGGATTTGAGCTTTGAATCTGAACAATTCAAGAAAATGGCTGAAGCATCAAGTTATGAAGTTATGAAGGCAGCCCTTGAGATTGAACGAACTAAGGTATATTAGATTTGACTCCCAACTGTTTTAGTCATATGCTATGCATATTTCTGATTATTTTTATTATTGTTATATTATTTTATATTTAAACAAAAAAAGGAAAGTATGAGGATGGCGGAGATGAGGCTGGTTGCAGCGAAGAAGATGGAGGAGGCGGCGAAAGCCGTGGAAGCCATAGCCATTGCCCAAAGGAAGGCTCTCTTGAGAAAGAAACACTTTTCTATGGCCTCTCCAACTAAGGGCACAACTGTCCCATATGTTAAACCCCACAAGACCCTCACTCCAAAGGCTCAACAAGTTGAAGACCATTGCAAGACCAAGTTCGTGGACTCGAACGTCGAGGTCGTCAAAGCCCTACAAAAACAAGGACAGGACAACAACAACAACAACAACAATAGCAAGCACAAAGAAGAAGTGTTGGCAAGTGAAAGGAGACCAAATGGCGTTGTAGCAGAGTTTAAGGATCCAATTGTCAAAGAACCGAAAACGCCCAATCAAAAACCGGTTACGGTTTTCGGGTCAACCATGTCGATCGGGGACGTGTTGAACAAGCGGGCGAGCCCGACGGACGACGTTGCCCAGAGACAACACGTGTCGTTCAGCCAAATGCTGCGGGGGCAGAGCGGGGCCGTGTTGGGCCCCGCCAAGTCCCCGAAAGGCGGGAGCGCGCAAAGGAAGAAGTTTGGGTTCATACAAGTGCCACTTGCTAAGCAGAACAAGAAAAGAGGCCAGGCAATGAACAGCCTGGTTTGATTGCCCATTGTTCAACTTAAGAATAGTTTTTCTGCTAATTTCATATTCAAGGGATGTGTTTGGGATGATGTTCTCTACTTTGTGGTCTTGGCTAAAACTTAAAAAATAATTCACTTCTATCAATTTTTGTAGCAAATAAATCCTTTTTTTTCACAAGTGATTTTGTGCACCACTTTGTAAAGGAAAAGAAGACATTTTAGTGCACTTTAAATCATATGTAATGAATGCAATGCTAGCCTTGATTTTAGTTTGTGTAGATCATGGGACTCATGAGAACAGTTTGGTGAAGAAGTTTCCAGAATTGGGTTTGTTTTGTACACAAGCAACATGGGCATATCTTCCAAGTTTGTCAACTTGTCTTTCTTCTCCCTCAGTGTTCTTCTTGCAGATTTTGCATGTTTTGTCAACCCACCCCTCTTCCACATACTCCCCATCCACTGTTGTCAAGGGCATAGATGGGATTTCATGTCAGATTGATGGAGAAAAGTAGTTCTTTCTTTCACACTATGTTTGCTTCAAGGAATTTGAAAGGGAAAAGAAAAGAAAATGAGAAAGAAAACAACTTTTTTTTGTTTGGTTAGAGAGGAAAAGTAAGAAAATTGGAAAGAAAATGCACTAAGAAGAACGAAAATGATTTTCCTTCCGTTTTGGTGAAGAAAAGGAGAGAAAACCTCTCTCATTTCCTTTCTTTTTCGAATTCCACGAACCAAACATACTGTTAAGATCGAGAGATTTGAAAAGTGAAAAGTGCATGATTAGAATTTATGGAAATGAGATAGAAATCTTGTAAGCTACATGTTAATTACTAAAAAGGAACATAAAAAAGGAAGTGTTTTTTTTGGGACGAACAGAAAACGGAAAGTTGGTAAAGTTTTCTTTTTGGGTAGTTAAGTTACCATCAACATATGACTTGAAGAAATCTTTGTAAGTGCCTCCAATCTTCCTTCTCAGAGCTCCATACTGCAAACATGATTTTCAACTTCCAAGTTAAGTATTTTGGTTCCACTATGCTTATAAATTGTTTCCCAAATTCTATCTCACTAAGGTTGTTTTGGCAAGATTCTTAATTCATAATGATTGGCCTCAAACAATGTTAAACAAGACATAATTTGTGAATGATTCCACAGTTTAAATTAATGGTGCAGATGAACTTTCAAAGTAGTGTTAAAACTGAAGATTATGGTGTATAACTTTTCTTCAAGACCAAAACCATCGAACGAAACCAATTCAATCAAAAATTCAAATTCGTGTTCGGAGGCCATAACCAGTTCTCTCCTCTGACAAAAACAAAACCTAGTACAGCAAACAGACTCAAAAATGTGCTAAGAAAAAAGCCCAAACAAAATGGAAAATGCTACAGACAGTAATTGTGTGTGAGAAACAAAACCCAAATTGGAAAGTTAGTTACCTGTTGTCTGGACATTCTCCCACCAGATTGAGTGGCCTCCTTGGCCTCTTCAAGAAGCTCCCCATCTTTATCTGATCTAATCTGGGAAAAATCCAAAGCTTCAATCAAATTACTGAAAAAAGATTCTTTCTTCTTCATGGATTCATCATCACCATCATCAGCAGCATTGTCCTCTTTCTTGGCTGAAACTGCCAAACAAGACTTCTTCTTGCTGAGATCTGTGCTGTGGACACTGTTACAGAACAATCTTGACAGGTTTTTTGCAGACCCTATGTTTGGGTGGTGTAGGACCTTCTGCGGTGGCGTTAAGGGCAGTGCCCTTGACCCCATTTTTTTTACCTCCAATTTTTTGGGGGTACCCTTCAAGAAATTGAAGTTTGTTAGGGGAAGGTAATGGAGGGAGAGTAGTGGGTTTTTGGATTTGCTTGGGATGAGTGATTTGTATGGAAGAATTGAATGGTTTAGGAATGAAAACGTGGCCCTTCTCTGACCATTGAAATTTATGAGATGAGATTTGATTATTGCATCCAAAAGCTAGATTATTTTTGGTATTATCCTAATAATAACAATTAAAATCAATGTTGATTGAACCATGGACAGAAAAATAAACCTCATAGTATCCTTCTTTCCTCATAATATGCACTAATTTTGTACTCAGTAGAAATTATGGACAGTAAAAAAAAAAGAAAAATCATGTACTCAGCAATTAAAAGAAAAGCCATGCCAAATCTCCCATGCACCCAAAAGGTGTTGAAACAAAGATATGCCATTTAGGAGGGCAATTTTGTACATCTACACATCAGTGTCTTTTACTAGTTGATCTCTCTCACTATGAGCTAACATTGTTGCAACATTCAAGAGGAAGATCAGAAGTATCAAATTAAGAGAGTAACAAAGAAGAAGAAGAAGAATACTCTTTTGCATTTACATCCCATCACACAACATATACCATCCCGACCTCGAGCAGCGACACCGGCGGGACCTTCAACGACACGTCGGGTCCCCGACAGTTCCGCTTGAGGAGGTTATACCCGAAGTTGATGGCCAGCCTCTTGAATATGGATGACCCTTGTTTGGTTCTCACGTGCGAGTGCCCGAGAATGAACGCCATCCCGGCTTCCTGCGCTTCGTGCAGGTCCCGTAGCTCGTCGTGCAACTGAACGTCCATCTCAGAGGGCGGGTCGTCTTCGGACTCGCCCACGTCGAACCTCACCCTCCGTTGCCCCGTCTCCGGCCGCATCTCGATGACGTCCGTAATGCTCTCCGCCGTCGAGAAACCGACGGAAACGCTCTCCGGTTGGGCGGTCTCCTCGATCTCAAAGCTCGGGAACGCCAGCGTCCCGATCACTGCAAGCCGGCACTCGCCCGAGGACGCGCCCGAACGGGACTCGCCGTCGTCGGGCGAGCTGACGACCCCGTGGGCCCGGTACCAGTCGTACCGGATGAAGTCGGCGAGCTTCCTGACGAGCTCCGTCTCGAAGAAGTCGACGTCCTGGTGGACGTCCCGGTACCCGTACCGCACGATGCACCGGTAGGAACGGTGGGAGGCGGGCCCCACGCGGCCCACGAGGTACCGCTCGGCCGGAGGGATGAAAGGGACGGGGACGGCTTTCACGCAGACGAAAACGAGCACCCGGTGGAAGGCGGGGAGGTTGGTGACGAACCGAGAGAAGTTCGCCGGGATCCCGGAAGTCAAATCGCTGAAGACGACGCCGATCCCCGGGACCCGGGCAATGCCGAGGCTCGGACCCAATGCCAAGAGCCATTCAAGGGAGACCTTGTTGTGGAGATCGTACTCGTATTTCTTGATGGTGGCATAGTGCCAAACGAACATAACGGTGACCAAGATGAGGGCGAGGAGGATCGGGAGCCAAGCGCCTTCCAAGAACTTAATGACGGAGGCGGAGAAGTAGAGCAATTCGATAGACCCGAAGAAGATGAGAAACCCGAGGGCGAGAATCGGAGGCTTATGCCAACAGAGGATGATGACCAGTGAGGTGAGGCAGGTGGTCACCAGCATCACCGCCATCAACGCCAACCCTGCATAAAGGACCATCCATGAGTAACCTGATTCTCTCTAGTGAAGTGGTATTCAAAAATCTAGAGGAAGCCCAAATCTAACACCACCTTTGACACCATAGTATCTCGAAACACACAAACAATAACTACTGTCTATGCAGGGAGTGTCTATGCTATCTGTGGTGTCAAAGGTGGTGTCGGTCGTGGGGTTCCCCTAGCATTACTGATTAGTGTTTTGGGATACAAACCTGATGCATTTCCCAGATGCTTGGTGTCCCGGAATCCGATAGTGACAGCAACGCAAAGGACCATGAGGATCCAGTTGATCTCCGGGATGTAAACCTGCCCGTGTATGTCATTGGAGGTGTGAACCACCTTGACTCTTGGGAAGCAGCCGAGCGAAAGGCTCTGGTTGATGATGGAAAATGTCCCACTGATGATCGCCTGGCTGCCCACAACAGAAGCTAGAATGGCCACCACCAGCACCGGCCACCTCACCCTCTCTGCATTCAAACACCCCATTGCGCATTAGATTAATCACTAACCAAGAACTTAATTAACAGTCTTTGATAAGAATACTGTTTTTTTTTCGAAAAGAGAGGAATTTTGGAGAGTCGAAAAGGACAAGAGTATGAAAAATACCGGGAACCGACAGGTAGAAACTGATTTCATGGATGTTGTGATGGTGCTTTGATAGAAAAGCTGCTTGACCCATGTATCCCAAAATGAGGGCTGGATAAACCAGAAAGGTGAACGCCGTCTGAATTGCAGCATATGAGAAGTGGCCAAGGTCTGCAAACATTGCTTCTGATCCTGCAAAACAATAGAATCCCACTAATCACAAATGTTGTTCCCGGCCAAACGAAGCCAGAGATTTTAACACTCTCAGTGTGAACATCTAAGTCTTCTTCAATGCTGGCTTTACCTGTTATGCACAAGAGAATCCCTCCCAAAGACATCCACCCGCGTTTCCTGGTCTTCTTCAAGAACTTGAACATGTAGTATGGGGAAAGTGCCTTGTAGACACGCGTATTCCATTGGAAGATATTGTACAACCCCAGTGTGCTTATGCAGAATAGCCACGCCAACACGATGGGCGCAAAGACAAATCCAATCCTGTGGGTCCCGTAGTGTTGTAGCGCGAACAGGCACACGAGTATGAAGCATGTTATAGGAACCACCGCATCTGAAAATAAGGTTGAGAAATGAGAAGTCTACCTCTTATAAGGCCTTGTTTGGAATGATTTGATGATCGGAATAAAATTTGCTAGACTTGCTAGGGAACGGAGAAACAGATATGAGAAAAGATTATTTTTTTAGGTAATAAAAATCTTACACTGGTGGTGATCCTTGGACATGAAGAACTCAAGCCCAGAAACCGCAGAAAAAACTGCAAAATCATATGGTTTTGCATCAGCATTACAAAGAAAAATTACTCCTACTACTATTACTACTAATGATGATGATGGTGATGATGGTGATGGTGATACCAGATATAGCTGGAGTGAGCAGACCATCTCCAATGACCATACAAGTTCCAATGAGCACAAGGATGAGTAACCCCGTGTGCAGACATTTGTACTTCTCAAGAACCAATTTCACCTTTGATTTATTATTCGTCTCGGGAGGTTGCTCGCATATATAAGTAGAAAGTGCCTCGTCAGAAACTTGTCTGTTTGGAAGGACACTCACTTTCGCATGCCGACATATCAGGGAATAGAGAGCAAATGTGCCACCTGCAACATAAAAGATGAAGGGTGTGTTTGGATCCTTGATAAAATAAATTTCAAGGAAAATCATTTTCTTATGTCTAGCTTTACATTGAAAATGCAAAAGAGAATGAAAAATGATTGAATTTCTATTTCTTTATGTATTTATACTGACAAATGAAACATTAAAATGGATTAGAAAAGTGAAAGGGAAATTACCCTCTCCATTGTCATCAGCCCGAAGCACTATGAACACATACTTGAATAAAGGGAGAAGTGTTAATGTCCAGAAAACAAAGGACATAGCACCAAATATTTCTTCATTAGTATCCGAATGCGTAATGTCTTCTGCAAATGTGCTCTTGAAGACATAAAGTGGGGAAATGCTGAGATCCCCATAAACCACACCAAGACTTTGATATGCTAAGAGCAGTGTTGTCTTCCAAGAGTTCTTCTGCATTAAACAATTAATTTTCAACAAAAAAAACAACAAGAATCTTTTAATGTGTGTAACAGAATAACATAGATTTTTGCATGTTTTAATGGTGAAAATTTCCAGGAACTCGTGTGGGATAAACAATATTTTAAAAAACTTAAGTGTATAATAGCATCAAATTTGTGAGCATTTCTTCTGCAATAACGAATAAAATTGGTATGTTTTCATGGACAAAATTTCCAAGATTTCTTCTGCAATTTTAAATTAAAAAGAGACAAAAAAAACTTCTGGTGTAAGTAATAAGTATCAAATTGATAAGATTGAATGCTAATCCAAAGCACAGACCTTTGCTGTGTCCCAACACTTGCCATAGTCAAGATCCATATATTCTCCAAAATCTTGTTATTGACCAAAGGCTTCAACTTGACAAGATGACTGCTTTGTCAAAGGTGAATGAGATTCCCTCCACAGAATCTGAATTTCTGCAATGAAAAGATAATCCCAATTTATACCCTGTAGAATGAAAATGACAGAGGAGAAGGCAAGGTGGGCGAAGTGATTCAAGAAGCCCACATGGCCCATTTGTGATATCATTCTGGCATTTGTGCTAAATGCAGCTCAAGAAACGCACTTACAGCTAGCAAACCTAATTCCTTAACTCCAATCTAGCTCTGGGTCACTCTCTTTCTAAGGTGGATTGCTCTCTTTCTAAGGTGGATTGCTGTAATTGATGATATTACTGATAACCCCCTCATTTCTTGCTTTCTTTAACTAACAAAAAGATTGTGACTTTCAACATTATATAGAGGGCGAGGAGGAGGAGGAAGAGGAAGAAGACAAGAAAATGAACAGAAGTGTTTGGATTGTGAAAGCTAAAAGAAGCATGTGTGTGATTCAACAAAAAGTTTGAATTGTCATTACAAATCATACCAAAAAGGTTTGAGCCCACATAAATAAATGGCACTTTTTTAGGACAAAAACACAAATATAGTAGGTATACATATACATATATATATATACATGCATAAACTCAAAAAAGTATAGGTGTATCCCTAACTGGAGTGAGTGGACTGCCAAACTTCTACCTACCTGCCAGAGGGAGGCTACAAGCACAAATTCAAGACAAAGAACAGCACAGACATTTATATTTTGTACTTCAATGATCCAAATTGCAGTTTTTTTTTTCTTTCTAGAATCCTTTGGACAACCCTATTCCAACCAAAGAATTTATTTTTCATAAAATATTCAATCATGTCGTCCAAATAAGCCCTACCAAACACACCCTAAAGTCAGATTAGAAAAATGAGGAATCCACAAATATGGGCTAGGCTGATGAAATTGACCAAGAAACTTGTGAGTAAGTAGGCTATATGATTTGGTTGGGCAGTCACAAAGACAAAGATCTTCTCCCACACCCATCCACTCAAGATTGGGACTCAACAGTCAACACTACACTTCTTTTGACTCACTTATGCAGATTCAATAGACCACACAGACTACCAAAACAAATCTGCAGAAAGGTAATAGAGAAAATGGGTTGAAAAACCAAGAACTTACCAGAAATTGGAAGATGTGTATATCTTGAGCTCTATGACAGCTCAGAACAGTGCTAAAATGGCTGTTCAGCTCAGGAAAACAAAAACCCAGAAACCATAAATGGGAAAAAGGGAAAAAGAAAAAAAAGGGGGTTAGAAACACATCAAGATCAGCAGCAGTGAAAAAAAAGGCTGGGATTAGGAGAAGCAGAAGAAGTGGGGGAGAGTATACATTCTTTATTGAAGGAGTTCCACGTGGTCAGAGATGGGGCCCTCTTCTTCTTCAATCACCACCATTGCCGGTATGGGAATGGTCCCTAATCCCTATCCCAGTGAATCACTGCTTCCACGTTTTATTTACCCATTGCACATTTCAAACTCTACTGTTTATTTATTTTTTTTCTCTTTCTTTCTCAGCTTTTTTTCAACTCTCTGCAGATTTCTTTCCTCCTTTCTTCCATGTTCATCAAAGCTTCAACCTTTTTTTATGTGTTTCAACTGAAAATTTGGAGACCACTTAGATTAGAGTAACGCCTTAACGATACCCATTCTTCTTCCAGTTCCCATTAAAGCAGTGTTTGACATTAATTTTGGAAAAAGCAAATACTCCCTTTGGATTATCTCCCATATTTGACTTGACACAATTTTGAATAAAATGAAAATAAAAAAATTAATATGAACCACATATTGGTTTGGAAAGAAACAAAAAAAAAATTTGGGATAACCCAAATTAAAAGAAAGATGATTATAGAACGGATAGAATATTACTTTCTCTCATTAAGCATCTGGTGGGTTTTGAAAGATATCTATAAGAGCATTGACAATGGCAAGGCAAAAATAAAATGTCACACGGTGACATGGATTATTTCAACCAATAAAAAGTAACTCAGTCACCGTGTGACAAATGAGTAGAGTGTCGTAACATACAGTGGCAAGTCGTTGTTTTTGTTTATTTTTGCACTTTTCAATGATTTTTAATTATGAAAAATTATTTTAAAAATCTATTTTATTATTAAAATATGTTTACTTCTTTTAAAAAATATTTTTTTCCAAAAATTAAAAATATTAAAATATTAAAAAAAATAAAAAATGAGATAGTCGTGCCTTGCACATGGAATGAAAAATGGGGTGGAATGGTCATGGAATGCCATGATTTGAGTGGAATTTGCTGACATGGCATGGCATGGCAAGGCAAGGCATTGCCTTGCCATTGTGAATGCTCTTATAGGATTCATCCTGATTGAAAAAAAGCAAATACTACACTACACTATCACTTTCTGAATCACCTTTACTACAACCACAAATTTAAGTATCAATAATACTCCTTTTGTCTTTACAAATTTTTCAACTTTCTTTTAATCTTTATCCTAAAATCGTTTTCTCCTTTTAATTAAAAATCTATTTTAAAACTATATCTAAAATTTTACAAAACAAGAAGTGACATGGAAGTAATTCTCAACATACTTATCACATCATATTTTTTACTAATAATTTATCTATCACAATCTTTTTACATATCACATCAAGGGAATTTGGAAAAGTCAACACATAAATATCTCTTATTTAAATTACATAAAAGTCAAAATGAGAATGACTTTTAGGGACGACGGAAGTACTATTTTTTTGTTTCATGAAACATTTCACTTTGATTTTACAAATTTAAAAAAATTGTTATAAGAATAAAAAATTGTGATTAAAATTCATTCAAATCACAAAGAATTGTTGGTAGTCGCCAGGCCTATTCATTACCAAAATAGAAAATAAATAAGTGTATTTGGACTTCCAATAAATAGAGTATAAAAAATTTAAGGGAAGAAAGAGAGAATAAAACTAAATTTCACACTATCAAACTAGCTATGACAATTTACTTAGATAGTACTAAAATATTTTGAATTTTTCTATGAAGCACAATAAGTTTTAATTTTCATAATTAGTTTCTAATTAATTAATTATTAATTACTAATTCTAGTGTACTAAAATGCCCCTAATATAATTTTATATTTTCTGTTCCATCACGTTCTACTGTCCTTCGCCGGCCATCGATCACAAAATACTGACATTAGTTGTTCTGCCGCCACTCCATTAATATTCATTACGCATGATTTAATGGCTTACGTGGTTTTACTCTAATAATATTATCATATCCTTAAAGTCATACTAATGGAGTTGGATGAACAGTTATATATTGGTTTGGTTTTCATTATCAATTTAATGCGAGATACGATTTGTTATTCAACCATCCTTCCTCAAATTAAGGATCACATAACTGGTAACATTTCATTTAGCCTTAATTCCTATCAATCATCTTGAAGAAATTTTTACCTAAGCACGACTAGAACAGAGAAGTTATTACAGAAATAAGACATCTTATATTTTTATCCTGAGTTCCTTGTCTCGCGAGGTGTTTGATCACTGAGTCACGGAGCCATAGACTTGGTCTTAGCTCTGAGTCCCAGAACTCTAAGTTCACCCCGTGACCTTCCTCCCGATCTCGGGCCTCGGGACTTGACCTCTAACCTCAAGCTTCGGTCTCATCAGGCTCGACGTCAACATCAGGCACCAAGTGTTCGGGCACACTATCCGAGCCTCAGCCTCGGGTCCCGGTCGGTCCTTGTGCTCGGCCTTCGACCAAATTTGTACTACTCTTGTATACGTGAAGTTCAAATATGTTTGCTCTTCCCCAAAGTTAATTCGCCATTAATTTTTAATAATAATTATTAATTGAGATGCAATGAAATAATTATTAATTAAGATAAAAAAAAGTGCTTGATCAACCATATGTCCATATCCCAAACATGATTAAAGCGTTCAAAGTGCCTTCAAATGGTTGCCATTCCCATTATACCAACTATCTGAACCGTGTTGAAACCTCCAATCTCACTCTCTTTATCAATCATAATTGTGGTATGCTCAATTACAAAACAACTAACTGTTTATATTTTGAATAAATGTAATATAAAAGAAAAGTTTAGAGAAATTTATCCAAATATTACTAAAACATAATGAATTTCTCAATATATGACCGTATCTTTATTTTTCAATGTTGGACTATTGGTTATTATCCATTAATAATTATTCAAATAAATATCTACAATCACTAGACATTATTAAGTACTATTTAGAAAATAAAAAAATTTAAGTCCTATATTAAAAAATGATTTATGTTTTAGTCTTATTTATTACAAATTTCACAAAAGTTAAATAGTTCGTATATGTTTATATGTATAACTAATTGTAGGGTCTTATTTATGATGTTGAATATAAATTGACACTTTTGTCAATGATTCCACGCACTTTTGTCAAAAAATAATAAAAAATGGAGAAAATCACTATGAAGGGAAATATATTTTCTCCAATTGAATGTTCCAAATATAATTAAAACAAATGGTCCATCAATGTTAATGTTTGGGGATTCGTTCAATTTGACACTTTCGAATTTTTCGAAAGGGATAAATTTTAACCATCAAGTCAACTACATTAAATTTGTAATATATATTAATATAAAAAAACAAATTTTGAAAAAATTTCTATAAGATAAATCTATTGAAATTATTTTTGTAAAAGTACACAATATAACTATTATTTAATTGATGATCAAAATTTATCCAGTTTAACTCAAAAATTCAAATTGAACGAATAATACAAAACGCAATTATTAGTTTTTTTTGTGCAATACATGAGAGAATATATAGAGTAATGATATGATAGATTATTATGTTGAAAAAAAATATCTCTCTTTTTATAAAAAAAAGTTCCATAATTTTTTTCTGAAAGGACAAAAACGTTGGAATGTGTGGGAAACAAAGATTTGGCAAGGGAATTTTTGGGGTGTTTAAAATTCTAAGACACATTGCACCTTACGGAGGGCGTAGCTTAACTGATCGAGAAATTAGTGTTATATGATAAACTTATTTTTTTTAAGTATGATATTCTTAGACATATAATGATACTCCCTCCGTCCAAAAAAGAACTTCCCGGTTTGACCGTGCACGCATATTAATGTGTGATAAAATTTGCTTTGACTTTCCTATTTTACCCCTGCAACCTTCCATCTTTCAATCTACTGGTACCGAATCTCTGATTGCCAACACCCCCGCCGGCGATTCTCTACCACCGCCAGCGATTCTCTACCACCGCTGGCGATTCTTTACAGCCGCTGCCGCCGACTCTCTGGAACCATCGGATGACTTCGGTGGTTCTTCTTGCCGCCATCCCTTCCGTAACCCCCTCCCTCGTAGATCTAATCTCTTCCATCCGAGGTTTTGACGGCTTGGGGCAAGGCTAGGAGTAACAAAAGCTTTATAGATCTATGAAATTGATGGAGATTATGTCGAAAAAGGAACAGATCTGACCATGGTTCATCTTGCCCGCCTCTCTCTGGTTCACGTATGTACCATGGGATTTCATAGATCTGCTCTTCGATCTCTGGTTCTTCTTGCCCGCCTCTCTCTGCTCGCTGCTCCCAATTATTGGGTGACGGAACAACGATCAAAACATGGAGGAAAAGGAATTAAAGAAGAAGAGAGAAGAAGAAATGAAAAGAATGAAAAAGAGAAGAAAAGAAAGAAAGAAGAACAGAGAAAAAATCGGCAGTGGCATGTGGGTGATTTCAGAAGGGAGACTGGGAGAGGAAAAAAGAAAAAAAAGAGAAGAAGGGAATGGGTGAGAAGCGGCGAAGAAGAAAGAAAAAGAAAAGAAAGAGAGTGGAGGTGGGGGCAATTAAGTCTTTTCGCATGAAAAAAGTTTCCAAAAAAGGAAATGGGAAGTTTATTTGTGGACGGACGAAAAAGGAAAGTGGAAAGTTTATTTATGGACGGAAGGAGTATATAATGAATAGAATTCATTTTTTATTAGACTGAGATTATAACTTAATTTTTCACCTCATAATCTATTATTCATGGCATATAGAAGTTGGGGTTTGACCTTTTTTTGTTTGTAATCAATACTACGAGCTTGGCCCATTCATCTAGGAGGCCTAGAGGGCCCATAAATTTTTTAACCCATTGGAGATCCATTACTGGTCATCCAGTATTTCTAGTAGCCCAATATATGAGAATAAACTAGAACTCGTCTTGCAAACATTGTAGAATGGGGAAGGTTCACATGACATTGGTCATGGGATGACCCGAGGGCGCTCTGGTGCCCCGTTCGTAAAATTGACGGTTCCTACCCCCCGGCAAAACCCCCCATCCCGCCCCGCCCTGCCCCAAACAAACCCCCCACCCCTCCAATTGCATCCCATAAGTCGATTTTGACTTTGGAGTCAAAATTTGGGCTGGTTTTAGCCAGACATCGCTGTTAGCCAAAATTAGTATTTTGACTTTGGAGTCAAAATACTAATTGGGAACCAATGTCATGGGAACCAAAGTGTTGTAGAATACCAAATACAATGCGAAATTACGAGCATTTTATAATTTTAACGTCTTTTATTTAAGAAATAAAAATACAAGGGGTTGTATTGTAATGTTGATCATATATTATTTCAATCTTATTTATTTCGGTGAGGTTCTAGTGACACCGGAATATGGTGCCACTCCGGTGCCACTGGCATTTTGGGGCACCTCCGGTGCTCCGTTCGCAAAATTAACGGTTCCTACCCCTCCTAACCCACCCCCTAAACCCCCCACCCTACCCCTCGCCCCTACACCCCCACCCCAACCCCGCCGTAAGCCCCCCACAAAATGTGTGGCTATTATGCGTTGCATAATGGCCACACATTTTGTGGGGGGCTTAAGGCGGGGGTAGAGTGGGGGGTTTAGGGGATCAGTTAGGGAGGGTAGGAACCGTCAATTTTGCGAACGGAGCACTGAAGGTGCTCCAAAAACGCAGTGGCACCACTAGTGGCACCGTACTCCGGTGTCACTAGAACCCCACCGTATTTATTTAGATACATCATACATTTTTGCTTATTCTTCTTATTTTTAATAATACATGGTAGCGTTTGATATCAAAATTGAGACCCTTCAAAAGTTTGTCCAAATTGCCAATTAGAAGGCACAACATCCTTGTTTATAAGTGTGCTTCCATCACATATTGTGACCTGAAATGAGAGGCTTTGCCCAATCAAGACCACATCACTTTGCCAATTTTGCCCCCAATTTCTTGACATTTGTAGCCACCCTGTTTTCGACCCCTTAATTTTTACTGTTCGGACGTCTCCTGACCCTCCAACGTTACTCACTAACACTAAGTTAAAGTACATATGCCCCTTCATCGTGAAATTTATTCCGCCCTTTTTCTTGCATGGTACCCTACAAAGACTCAACATATAAAATTAAAATATTCATATTTTGTTAAAATTAAAAATCTTATTTATCCTTATTTTTTAATATTCACATTTTCATTATCCCTTTACAATTTATTATACCACAAAGCCCAAAAATGAAAAATCAAATCGTTTTTCATCTTAAATTTAAAAGGGTATTGAGTTATATATGTTATAAAATTTTTATAATTGATGACAAAAATTTATTTGATTTGAATAAAAAAAGTTAAACGGGAAAGATACTCTATGACAGAGATAGTACTTCTTTCATCTAGTATCTTTCTTTTCATTTGACTTTTTTATCATGACCATAATATTTGAAAAAAAATAGTTACCCATTTGTTACCCACTGGCTTCAAAAAAAAATATTCCCTCCGTCTCAAAATGTGAGCAACATTTCAAACGACATGCAAAACATCATCTCTTTTAACATCATTTTATATGTTGATTAATAGGGAAATAAAAAATAAAAATTACATCGTTCAAAAATAGATAAAAAAAATTCTACTCATTATTTTATATACAGATTAGTACGAAAAATAAAACAAGAATGTCTTTTTTTACCTGCGGTAAATTACAGGGACAATTCCGGCCTTATAAATGGCGATTTGCAAGTAGGCGGGCTGGGACAGGTCGAAGTGTGGCCGTGGAGGGTTGCACCAGCCGCCGTCATCGTTGGGCAGGCTCGGGTTCGGCGGGCAGAGGTCGGTGGCGGTGACGGTGATGCTGCCCGGCGGCACGCAGTTCTGGCCGGTGCACCGGAGCTCGTAACATGAGCCACAAGCTAAACCGTCGTTGAAGAGAGTGGTACTCAGTGCTGCAATGTTTGTACCGTAACCTGTCTTGTACAAGTTCCCGTACCCACATGCTCCCCCTGCATTTCAATTCTCTCAAAGTTATGCCCAAAATGATTTTCATATTTTAGAGTTTAAAAATCACGAGAATTTTTTCATTTATTTGTGAATTTTAATTAATTATTAGATAAAATATACTCCTCCGTCCTAGTGTCTTCATCCGATTCGATTTTTTCGATTCGATCGAGTCAAACTGGACGAACTTTAATAATCAACTATTCTAAATTTATATTGCACATTGATACAATAATTTAAATATTTAATAGTTCTCAACCAGATAAATCTATTAAAATAATTTTTATACTAAGATATGTTACCATTTTTATTTAATTCAGGCCAAAAATTCTCTAATTTATCTCGAAAAAGTCAAACTGGACGAATACACATGGACAGAGGTAGTAATATTTATATTACCTTTTGTTTTATAAAACTTTTAATATGGAGTATAGTTTTAAACAAGCCAATTTTATTTTTATTTTAAAATTAATATTTAAATAAACAACAACAAAAATAATCTAGTTGGATCTCACAATGAGTTGAAAAACTTCAATTTTTTTGAAGAAAACTTGAATTTATAATAAGTTTTGCATAAAGTGCTAATTTTTTTTAGAGAAGGAGTATAAACTTTTCAAATTTTTAAAAAGCTTTTCAAATTTACTTATTTTGGAATTTGGACCATTTTTAGTGGGCTTAGACAAAAAAATAAGGTTCAATGTAGGTTCGGGGCTTTGTGGCTCCGGATACCCAAGCTTCTTGAAGAACGGGCTTCGTATACCCAAGCCCGCTCATAATGCGAAAAAACGGAGTTATAACCAAGACCCGACCCAAGTCGGCCCAACTCCTTTTTAAAACATAGATATAAAAAAATATTTTCATTTTCAAATGCAAATATAAGAAAATATGGAAAAATAAAATAAATAAATAAGAGAAAATAATACGGATTATAAGTAATGAAAAAAAGCAGTCATAATCTAAAATTTGACTTAAAAACATCATAAAATATTCACATATTTGTCATGCACATATACACTTAAATTAATATGCATATATGATGAGCTGAAAACAATTAAACAAATACTCCCCTCCAAAAAATGTCACGATTCGTTATTCAAAAATTATAGAACCTTTTATTTATTTCTACGTTTTCATTGATTATTTGATAAAATAAAATATTCTTGTCACCTCTTGTTTCAAAAAAACTTTTGACGTAATTTTTAAATATATAATTTTTTTGAGAGATTTTTAATCAGACCCTCACTCTACCTAGCTCTCCACTTTCAATTGCGTCTCCACTGTACCATTTAAGATATTATATACTGATTATTTTTCTCTTCAGTTTTGGATGTGGGATACTCTCTAACACTCTATCTCAAGTGGACAATCGGATCATTTCGAACTTAAATGGTTCATCACTTACAAATTAATTCTCATCTTCATGGACCGAATATTAGAGCGGCAACACCTAAAAGACCTCGAGTTGCTGGATATGGACTTCAAGATGGACAATCGAGGTTAAATGGGTCATAAGCCGTTTTGTACGCATTCTACACAGACAACTAGGATGAAGACTAGGGCCGCTGTTAGAATATAAGAAACATTTTTTGGGCCACAACCACAAGAGATCACGAGATGGTTCCTTGACATGGTATCAAAGCTTCGTTGACTAAGAGATCACGAGTTTTAAACTCACCACCACCCAGTTTTTAAAATTAAGGTTTCACGTGCAAGGCTCGAAAAAAACTACGCCTGTACGTGAGGGGACGTGTTAGAATATAAGATACATTTCCCAGGCCACAAACACAAGTTTGAGCTTTTGGTTGAGTTGATTCCTTGACAACTACTAAAAATGAACGTCTAGATGGACCCCTTAACAAACGAAGCGAGTTAAAATAACTAACAAAATGAATTAATAAATTTAAAAATTCACTTTATTTTGCGTAATGTGACAAACATTTTAGAACGAAAGGATATGATGTGATGAGTAAATCAAATAATCAGTTTAAATCAAATAGAGATGGAAAAATAACAATAAGTAATTAAAATGAAAAATAAGGTGTATATATCAGAAGTTGTAATTAAAATGAAATATATACCCATTGTGCCAGAAGCATCACTGCCTCCATAGAAAGTTGCATGTGCAGACTGCCACTCTCCATAGTCAGCACCACAAGTTATATGGATGAAGGTTGATGATGAGAATAATATCACAAGAATTAATAATAATAATAATGGATTAAAGACTAATGTTGCAGCTGGAATAATACTATTAATATTAATAATAATACTATTCTTATTGTTAGCCATTGAGGATTGATAATTAGTTAAGATCAAAGAAGTGTTTAACGTGTAAGAGCTAGCTTAGGGATTATATTAGGTATTGGTTGGAATAATTAAGGTGTAAGCATATATATAGAGTGGGCAGGTTAATTATTACTCCAAGTACAAGATATGTGCCATGTTTGATATCATTTTTATTTGTGGTTTACATGGAAAGTTTGAGGTATGATATTTTAATTTCTTTTTTTATAGCAAATAACATTGATAAGTAAGCTATATTAATCACTCATATTTGATATTCCCTCCGTCCTGGAATAATCTTTTGGGATTACATATTTGTTTCCTTGAAATGAATGAGAAAGTATAATCACAACCCAAAGGAAAGAAGAAGACAATTTGTTTCCTCAAAATATTTGTTTCTCTATTCAACGTTCTTAACAAATTCTAACTAGACCCATCCATGTTTTAACCAATTTTTTTAGTATAAATGTTTTTTACCCATCCATCAAGTATAAATGTTTCTTTTAGTGAACTTTGATGAAAAGCCCACTTTATGCTTATGAAACACACAAATTATCTATCCTCTGTATTTTAAGCAAAATAGAAATTCAAAACCAGTTTTCAAACACTCTCTAAATCATTGAGAAGGAGAACAACTTAAGACTAAGGTTAATACGGAGTTTTAAAAAAGCCCATGCCCAATTTCTTCTATACCCTCGTTTTCAATATTCGTAGGCAATTACCCAATTAAATTGGGCCTTCTCGCAAAGTCTAAGCCCAAACGCTTATAAATCCACGTAATGAACAGCAATCTGGGGACGGGTCTAATTTTTCTTCTTTTGATTTAGCATGATAAATATTGTGTAGGAAAAATAAACTTATTACGGAGCATAAAATGTCAAGATGATTTATTTTTTAAAAAAAATAAATAGATAAATGACTTGTGGACGCACCATTAAAAAGAAGAGAAAGTTTAAGGAATTATTAAAGTGGTGCGATAAATATTAAAGGGGTAAGTAATGTGACCATAAAAAAGAAAAAAGAGAGGAAAGTGAAAGGAACGAGTAAAGATACTCTCACTGTATTTCTTCTTCCTAACCTACTGTGTGAGGTATACTTGTGAAAAGTTGGGTTTCAACTTTTCTTTAAGAGAAAAGCTCTTTATGAATTTGTGAACTCTTTGTTTGTGATTTTATATTTTTTTAATAACATACTTCTTTATCCAAAACTATTTTTTCTTTTTGAACGACATGTAAAAATCTAAAATGATTTTATTCATAAAATTTATATAGAAATATAAAGGACAAGTTACACATTTAGAAATTATATCTAAAACTCAAATAAGTGGAGATGTGTCATTTTTATTTTTCAAATGATAAATAAAAATTATCAAAAGTTTTAAATAATAGAGAAGACAATTAATTTAAAGACAAATTATTACATGCACCTAAGTTCTATGGTGAACTTTTAGATAAGTATTTTCATGCATCGAAACAACTATTTTTAAAAATTAAAAAAATTAGTGAAAATGTCTATGACATTAAATCCACCATATAACTACTCAAATTTAAAATGGAGAGAGATAGACAATTAAAAAAAAGAAAAACAATCCTAAGGGTCCGTTTGATATACGGAATTGGTGGAATTGGAATTGAATTAGAATTGAAATTTCATGGGATTCAATTCCATGGAATTGAATTCTGCCAATTCCAATTCATTTTTTGCACTATCAATTCCAAATTTACATAATTTGTGTGCTACCAAACACCAGAATTTGGATTGAAGTCCTCAATTCCAATTCCATAGTTTGAATTTCATGTACCAAACGGGACCTAAATCAGCGTCTAGCCCCAAATTGAGAGATCACCGGCCGACTTCAATCTTCAATCACCCGCCGATTGGATCACTCCGGTCGGTAGCCCGACAAACCACATTCAGTTTTTGTCTCTCTCTCCATATTACTTTGCACATTAATTTTCACTCAATAATAAACATTGTATGAAATAGACTGTCAGAACCAAAACATCAGTTCCTACTCTGATTCATCTGCAAGAATATTACTCTCCCCGTCCGGAAATGTTCTTCCCATTGACTTTTCACGGTCTCCAATATTGTACTTTGACCATTAATATCTATATTTGTACATAGACATATTTTATAAAAAATTGATATTTGAAAACTACGTTTCATTATGAATATATTGATATTAAATTTACATCATAATGCAATGTGTTTTTTCCACAAATCGTAGTCAAAGTTTATAAACTTTGACTAAGAAAAGTCAAATGTGAAGAACATTTCCGGACGGAGAGAGTACTCACCAAAGATAGACTTGTTAAATTTATGGAAGTTAATCAAAAGTGCATGCTCTGTTATGAAGTGAATGAAGATAGGGATAAAATTAAATGTAAATATACAAAGGGGGTTATGACACAGGTGCTTGGTTGGTTTTGAAGTCCAAATTTAAGAGGATTCTGTTGATGGAGTGTTAACCAAAGTCAATAGCTTCCAAAGTAAAAGAGAGCTCACACCGAAGATCATAGCTGGAGTTGTATGTTGTTACTTGTTATACGATTTGGGCCCTTAGCGTTAGTACTTTGAAAAAGTCATCTGACGATGGTGTTTAGCGTTAACATTTTTTAAATTAATTTAAACCATTCAAATCTTATCCAAAACGCTAACGCAAAATTAAAAACGTTGTTCCCAAACAAGACCTTAGAAAATAAGGGATCAAATGATATACAATGAAAAAGAACCGCATGATTTGAACTGGACTTAAGTATGATCTTTTTACTTACATAGCTAGTAAATGTAAGCATATGGTTGTGTTAGGTTAAGGGTGTATGATTGTTTATTTTTCTGTCTGCTATTCATTGAGGTAATACTGGTTTGAGGTAATTAAGTATGTGCTTGTTATTCAAAAGATACTGGGAATCATAAAATTAAATGTTATTTTCATTAAATTGAAGGGTTTGGGGTGGTTCGAACGGGTTCGGGTGTAAATTTACCATGAGTTCAAAAAAAAATAAGAGTCGTCAATTTAATGAAGGAGCACTATAGATACATCAATTAGAGCTATTAATAAAACGTAGTTGTTTAAAAGAGAAAAGTACATACAAAACTAAATATACTACATCTGTTTTAGTTTAGTGTTTGAATTTGATTTTTTCAAATTAAATTCGATAAATTTTACATTTCAATTACTCTTGATATATATTAAATATTAATTAGTATATTGAAATAACATTTTAAAACTTTTTCAATAAGATAAATATAATAAATTCATTTTTGTGGCCATATACATCACAATTTGTGTTTAATTCAAACTTAAAATCATCTTGTTTGATTAGAAATGAATACATGCATTAGAGAAAACAAAACTCACATAATTCAAATCATCTTATTGAATACCCAAAATACATCACATTTCACACTCATTGTGCCCTTAAAACCTTTCTTTTTTAAAGGTCTTTAATCACACATGAGTTGTAATTTACTTAATTAAACATGTTTCTAATTAAACTATATTTCATATATTTATGTATATACCCCTACTAAAGAGTATAATCCATTAGGACCCCTCCCTTCAGTTTCATCCCTGTAAAAAGTATACAACGTTTTCTACCAAATTACCATTATACCATATCATGAATCAGGAATGTAACTTTACACGTGATGGTATAACGGTAATTTTACAGGCGAAACGGCTTGAGACACGTCTTGATAGTAAAAAAAAAAAAAGAAAGAAATCTTCAAAAATCAATCACTTTTTTAAAAGTCGCCCCCAGGTTTTTGGGTAATTAGAATTGCGCCCCTTCGAAAGTTTGGCCGAATTGCCAATTCGGAGGGGCGACGTTGTTACTCGTCACCGTCCTCCCGTCGCCGGTGGTCACCTGAAAGGAGAGGCTCTGGCCGTTGAGCACGGCGTTGCTCTGCCAATTCTGCCCCCAATTTCGCGACATCTGCTGCCATCCGGCGGACCTGGACCCCTTCACGGCGACGGCGCGGACGTCCCCGAACCCTCCCACGTTGCTCACCAGAACCAAATTGAAGTAGGTGTGGCCGTTGATCGTGAACCGGATCCCGCCCTTCTTCCGGCAGGGGACCCGCCGGAAGTTGACGGGGACGATCCCGGCCCGGTAGATCGCGATCTGCAGGTACGCGGGCTCCGCCATGTCGAAGTGGGGCCGGGGCGGGTTGCACCAGCCGCCGTTGTCGTTGGGCAGCCCCGGGTTCGGCGGGCAGAAATCGGTGGCGGTGATGGTGATGGAGGAGCCGGGGACGCAGTAGGGGCCGGTGCAGGCGATCTCGTAGCAGGAGCCGCAGGCCAAGCCATTGTTGAACAGAGCCGTGCTTAGTGCCGCAATGTTGGTTCCATATCCTGTCCTGTACAAATTCCCATATCCACATGCTCCCCCTGCATTTTCATTAATTCTAATTTAACCCCCTCATTTTACCATTTTTATGCAGTTTATCCCATAAAATATTCATTTTTCTTGATTTTTGTAATATACTGTAATAAATAAATCTTGGACCACTCTTGTTATGGCCACCACCCACGAGCTTGAGTATAGGACAAATGTTCTATATTAAAAAAAATAACCCATACTTAATCATAATAATTATTAGTTTTGAAAACTATAAATTAAACTAAAAATTTTAAAGATTTACTCCATTCTTCCCAAAAATAGTTTTCAATCATATTTTCCGTGAAAATCATAAAAAACACTTTTATCTCACCTAAAATTTTCGTGAGCACACCTCATTTTCACTCTTTTATTGCGGGTAAAAATTGCGATGTTCAAAAAACAAGAACATACAACTGTTTTTTGGAACGGAGAAAATATTTGTTTTGGACGGAATTTCACTGAAGTAGTGCTTGAAATTTACAGAACCAAATTAGAATGAAATTTGAATAATTTGAATTTAGATTACTTGTGTGATAAAAATATAGCAATGTAAAAGAAAGTAATTATAATGATATGAGATAACTAATTCTTGAACCCACCCCAATCATTTTTGGGAACTATTACACTAAAAAAAGAAAAAGGAAAAGAAAGAAGGGTATTAATGGAAATGTACATACCCATAGTGCCAGAGGCATCACCACCTCCATAGAAAGTAGCATGAGCAGTCTCCCAGCCTCCATAGTCACCACAAGTGAAATGGACAAAAAAGCCCATAATAAAAGCCAAGAATAAAACCAGAGGAGAAGCCATGAGGTAGAAGAAGAAGAAGGTGTAATGATTATTAAATAAATATTGGTATTATTTTTTTTTGGGTGGAGTGAGTTTGGGGATTGGGCAGTTGTGTGTGGGGATGTATTTATACACAAAAAAGATATTGGCAGTGGAGGGACAAATAGTTTCTTGAATGTGACAATTTTGTGCCATGTTCAATTTCCTTTAACTATACATAAAAACAAAAGTGAAATTAAAATGAAAAAAACAACTTAGTATAATCTTTTCCTAGATTGAGATATTCCACACTTGGTAGGTAAAGATGCCTCTTTTTTTGCTTGTTATTATTTTTGTTATTCTAGATGATGCTGTATATTTGAATGTTATTTTCTTTAGTATAGGAGAGAATAATGTTTTTTAATTTTTTACTTTGTACTAAGGGTATCCTTAATAAAGGTTCCACATTACAATTTACATTGTCAAATAGTATTTTATTTTCGGGTAACATACAAATGTTGGTTCTCTACATTCGAATGCTTAATTACGGATTAGGTTGAACGGTTACTTCTAAATCTAAGTGCGAACTGTTGCAATTTATCGCGAAACATTCGAATGTATGGATTCAAATATTCGAATGCATTGAGCACTTTCCGCATGATGCGTTGGATAAACACAACATTTGACTATATTGATTTGTACATTCGAATGTTCATAATTTTAAACTCCATATACGAAAATCTAAAGGATTTTCACAAAGCAACGATGGTCGGGGCTCTACCCCCTGGATCCCGCCCGGACGGTACCCAGGTACCGCCGGCACGGTAGGCCATACTGTCGGAACGTTATACCAAATACCGTCTCAACACGTTTTTCTTTGGTAGTACCTGATGCCAGGCGGTACCCCATATCGTTTGAACGGTACCTCGGTACTGGTACCCTAACGGATACCGTCTGATCCGATAAATTTTCCACAAATCTGATTTTTGATCAATAAAATCTTATTTTAGATACCATTCAACTATGATCAACATGAAAATGATTTCTGGAAATAAATATGATGTTTTGACCAATCCAAAAAATCTGTGTGATGCATGAAGGTAAGTTACGATGTTAACACTCGATGATAGGCCGCTATTTGTTATGAAATATTATGATTATATTACTGATTATTGATTATGATAATTCAAACATGATTAAAAAGAAATGTATATTCCGATTAAAATGATGATTATGAAAATGATGTTGAATAAATAAGGGCATTTAGAAAAACTCTAAGTAATACCCCGTATCAAGATGGGAATGGGAAGAGCTCAAAAGAATTGATAGTACTACTCATACCAGTAAGGTACATCTTCTTTTCGAGAGCTCATCACCTAGAAACTCCAAAGTTAAGTGTGCTTGACCTGGAGCAATTTTAGGATGGGTGACCCCTGGGAACTTTCCTTGAGCGTGCACGAGTGAGAACAAAGTGTACGGGAAAGACTTGTGTTGATTTGTGTGGCCAGTCTACAATCCTATGAGCAGACACTTACGGCTAGGGTGGGGGGCCGGGTGTTACAAATGGTATCAGAGCAACCCTGCGACCGTGACGGGCCAAAAGAGCTTAGTTCACCTAGCGGGGAAGATCTATGGATTAAAAAAAAGGATGCAACGAGGACATTGCGTTCCTAAGTGGGGGTGAATGTAATACCTCGTATCAAGATGGGAATGAGAAGAACTCAAAAGGATTGATAGTACTACTCATACCAACAAGGTGCATCTTCTTTTCGAGAGGTCATCACCTAGAAACTCCAAAGTTAAACGTGCTTGACCTGCAGTAATTTTAGGATAGGTGACCCCCTGGGAAGTTTTCCTTGGGCGCGCATGAGTAAGGACAAAGTGCGCGAGAAAGACTTGTGTTGGTTTGTGGGGCCAGTCTACAATCCTTTG